GTATTTATTTTGTTTTTTGTTGATCATGGCTGTCACTGAAGCTTGCTGCAGATTCAAAGCCTTAGAAATGGCTGTAATCCTTTCCAGACCTTTGTTTCTCAGCTGTTCTTGGACTTCTTCAGATGAGATGAATTGTGAATTGCTTTTATTGATCTTTTTTCAGGCTGCGTCATCGATTTAAGTTAATTTCTACTTTACATAAGTCTGGCTGCGGCAGTAATCAATGAAACTGAAGTCAGTTTCCAAAGATGTAACGGTTTAAGGCCATCCAAACACTGCCATCTGCTGACCAAAACGTGTAAGTGCAGCTCGAACTACTCAAAACTGTGTTGGCTCATAGCCGTTGCATGAAAGATAATTGATCTTTTACATTTTTTTATTGTCAGTAAAAGATGAAATAACCATCATAGTTGCATTTAGTATTTTAGATAGTTTTGACGTACCCATCTCATTCTTTGCACAAATATTTAATCTGAAAACTCATATGAAGTTAGTAGTAAATTGCTTTTCTTAAAAAAACAGACTAATATTTTCATGAATCTTTTACTCGATTATGTGATAAAATATTTAAAACTGTGCACAACAGTTTGCAGAAATAATCAAAAAAAGAGACCAAATTCAAATTCAAAACAATTTTGTTCAAGATTTATTATTTTTGCATTAAAATGTTTTTTTTTTTTTTTTTTAAATTGTTCCCCTCTTTGCAGCTTGAAGCCATACTTACCTTCCTGAAGGATGTTTAACCTGTTAAAAAAAAGAATAACATTACCTAATATCTTTTGAGTAACGCATATTACACAGTTTCGAATAATGAAAGAGTTAAACCGAGCTCTTTGACTGGATAGATAGAGATCAGGGCGGGACGAACGAACAGTTAAATGCCAACTGTTTCTTCCGGGCTCAAGGCTGTTTGCTCCCCGCTCTCCTGCCGCTCCTTCCCCGTCATGGCTGCTCTCACTCCCGCTGTGGTCTCCGGTCAGTGGTTGGCGGATGCCATCCAAAACAAACAAGTCGGCCCAAAACTCCGTGTTCTGGACGGGTCCTGGTACCTACCGAAAAGCAAGCGGAACACCAGAGAGGAGTTTCTCCAGAAACACATCCCGGGAGCGTCGTTTTTCAACATAGACGAATGCTGCGATAAGAGCTCCCCGTACGACCACATGCTGCCGACTGCCAACGACTTCTCTCGGTATGTGAATGACCTTGGCATCGGGAACGACACCCACGTCGTCGTCTACGACACCAGCGACTTCGGCTCGTTCAGCGCGCCCAGAGTGTGGTGGATGTTTCGGGTGTTCGGGCACAACTCGGTGTCGGTGTTGGATGGAGGCTTTAAGCACTGGGTGGCTGACGGTCACCCGGTGGCCTCCGACTACACCAAGCCGGAGAAGACAGACTTCAAGGCGAGCCTGAACCAGTCCTGGGTGAAGAGCTATGAAGATGTGCTGGAGAACATCAAGACCAAGAAGGTCCAGGTGGTGGACGCCAGGTCTGGTGGCAGGTTCCAGGGTACCGACCCAGAACCAAGAGGAGGTGAGGAGGGCCTAAAAATGCATTGTTAACAAACATTAATAAATGCTTAATGTGCTTGTGTAATAATCCTAGAATCACACGAGACCAATTTATGTAGGAAATGGGCTGAAAATGAAACCTGACATGGGATAGTCCAAAGACTCAATGCCACAGACTACAGCCAGCCAGACTGACTGTGTTTTACTGGTTTTGAGTCAAGAGGTCAACTTTATTTGTGGCAGGAAGAGGTTGTAAAGGAAAGGAGTTAATTAAAAATAATCAAGAGTTATCTGTTGTCACTCCATAAAACCATAAAAAGCATGCAAAATCAGTTGTGATAGACAGAAATAAAGTAATTACTGGAGATGTGCTTGTAAGCATTTTGTGGTCAATGACTGATCTTTGATAAGGCGTTGACTTGAAGATATTGGTTTCAGGTTAATTTCATTTCTCTTTTAAGAGGTAAAATATAAGCACAGCATTGAAAACTGTTTATTTTATAAGTGGGAGTGGAAGGTCTCTGTAAAACAGGATTATACTATTAAGACAAAATAAGAATGGAGTTGAAATGTAAAAAAACTAAAATTAGCATTGCTAGTTACTTGGGTCATCTAGCCTATAAGTTTCCAAATCTAGTATGTTCCATCATAGACGTTGAAAGCTCAAAAGAATGAAATGGAGAAAATTTTCTGTAATACAGTTTGCCTTCCTGTTATCGGCTGAAAGACTCACTCTCTCACACTTCATCTCAGAATTCTTTGTTTTAAATACTTTTACTGTCTTTACTTCTGACTTTATGTGAAGCACACCACTGATACTGCAAATGATAAACCTTCTTCCTTCACCTTCTTCCTTCAGTAACAACTTCCACAGTTAGGAGTAATGTTACCATGACGCGGTTGCACTAATTTTTACTAAATTTTTTCAGTTTTCCAACAATCGGTTTCCAGCCGTTTTCTTGGTGCATCTCTAGAGAACACAGTGCTACAACAATAAAGTTGAGTTGTTGAATGCAAACAAGATTAGGTGGGTCTTCATTCCCACTTCAGATTATTATTAGACTAAAATGGAGCTGTGACTGCAAAGGTAAAATCACATTTAGATTAGGTTATCAAAGTACTGATTTCCCCCAATGCTATTGATAAATATGTAAAAGTTCCGGTTGATGAGGGGCCAAACTATTCAAAACCAGCAATGAAACCTTAAAATAAATTCTATAACTAACAGGAGTTTGGTGAATATGAGGCCGTCAATAATGTTATGTTGTCATTTCTTTTCTATTGTCCTTAAAAGTTACGATTTCTGTTGGGATAAAACCATAAATCTTGGCTAAAAATCATTGTCATCCTGGTTCAGCGATACTGAGAGCTGATATGAGGCCTGAAAAGCTTGTTGGCTTGGAGATGAAGCTTCCCTTGGCAGCCACGCCCCGTTGCTACACACAGTTGTTTTTACTCACAATGACAGTGCACAAATTTACCAGTCTGATTACTACAGCAGGAAAGCACTACAATGTGAACTCTGAACGTTTTATGAGCCAAATGACTTCATTGAAAGTTCGGCTTCTTGCAGTTCTTGAACTTTACTAGTTGAAAACAAAATAATTTTTTGACACTCTTTCCCCATTTATCCATCTCCCCTCAGATATACAGTCTGGGCATTTCCTCGGAGCAATCAACATGCCCTACACAACTTTCCTGGAATCTAATGGAAAGCATAAGAGCACCGAGGCCCTGACCAAGCTCTTTGAGAACGCTGGAGTGGACCCGAAAAAGCCGATCTGGGCTTCCTGCGGTTCGGGAGTCACCGCCTGCCACGTTCTTCTGGCTGCCGACCGGCTTGGACACACCGATCTTTATCTCTACGACGGCGCGTGGGTGGAGTGGTTCAAGAGGGCTTCTCCAGAGCTCATCATCTCTGAGGGGGAGGGAAAGAAGGCCTAAACCATTTTTAAAATAAGCTAGGAGCCGGATTAGGTTGCTGTTTGAAATGGGACTAGTCTGTTTGCTGTGGAAAGTAAGAGTACAACACTTAACTTATGCTGCAGGGTGTATATTTTCATTTACTAATGTTGGGATGATAGAGAATGCTATTAAAAAAACTTTTAACATAAATGAAGTGCTTTATAAATGTAAGTTAACAGAGGAAGATGTAGGTTTTCTGCAGCTGAAGAGCATTTTATGAAACATTTTGACATTATGCAGATAGGACTTTTTTAACAGATCTATGTATAATTTCTTATCTGTTTCTCTTCTGGTATCATCGGACAGCAGGGATGTTACATTCCTTGATTAATGTCCATATGTAATTATGCACGATTTGCTTTTGTTTCTGAGACATAAAATAAATAAAATGTTATCTTGGGTAAATGTGCTTTTTTTTCTTCAAAAGATGGAAAATATGTTAAGCTTTATATGCATAAAACGTCACTAGAAAAAGTCAAAAAGAAGAGAATTGCAAGCCTATCTGCTTGTAATTTCTATTCATACATTTGTAAAGTGTAGAGTTTTTATCTAATGTGGAATCCAAAATGTTTATTGTGAATTTAAAAAATAAGTCATTCGTCAAAGAGGATCTTGTCACATGGTCCTTACCTGATGTGCCGGTTTTCCTAAACATTAAACTTGTTCAACTGGATTGCAGTTAAGATTTTTTTTTCCTTCAAGTTAACGAGTTCAAGAACAAAAGGCAAAGTGTAAAAATGGATTAAGAACAAGGAATCGGAACCAATTTTATTGAACGAAACTATGTTCACAAACAAGGAATTTGACTGCCTTCACACGTTCACAGCATGCAGACATTACAAAGAAAAAATATAGGATAAAAGGAACAGCATGTACAGCCATTAAAAGGCAGGTAGTGCAAATTTGCATATTTTGTTCACAGCAGAGTGGCTGACTGCTCAGACCATAAAATGCTCATTGTGTTTATCAGAGTGACAGCCTCGTGAAGAAACTGACTCTGTGGCGACTGAGTTCGCCAACTGTTTCATTTTTCAATGTAATTTGAGTAAAACAGAACCATTCCACAACAACATATTCCCCATATTACCAAGTGGGAAAATATAAACAGTATTGTACCAAGCACTCAGCACTCAGCCTTGTGGCATCCCATAACTAACTCTTTGGGGAGCATTATCAATCACATAAATAAATAAAAATCTCTGCGATAAATATGATCCAAATCACCCTATTGATGTTCCCTTAATTCCTACAAGTTCAAGGATTAATTAAAAAAAAATACTGTGATCCACTCAATTGCAGCACTACCCTGAAATCCATCGTCTGACCATTTCCAAAAGGTCTTACATTGTGGAGGATTAGGTCACATTAGCTGGGACTTGAGCATAAGGAGCAGGTTTCTAAGGTGAAAGCTTAAATAAAGAAACTTTATAAAAACAAGTTGAGGCTTGCCTTTTAAATAACCAAGAAAACCCAGACAAGACAAAAGAAATCAGATAAGGTCTTCTGAAGCTGCACTGTTTGATGATGACCCAGCGGCAAAACTGGAATGTTGGAAAAATTATTTTTCCTTTTAACTATCATGAGAATGGTTAAAAGTGTCCTTAGTGACGTGTCCCGTCAGGAGACAACCGTGTCCTCACAACAGTTAACAGGTTAAAACAGAAACAAATAATAAAGACAGCCATTAACTCATCCCCATTATTCCAGCTCATCAGAGTAATAACTTGTTAATCCTTGGCTGACAAGATCCTACTTCCCCAGGATTTCTCTTATTCTACTCTAACAATGGCTGACAATACATTTTTCCAGCTTTAGAGAGGTTTTCTTATATAATAAAGCTGACTAAATTTCCAGATTACTAAAATAACTTGAAATTAATAGATAATGGTCTCGTTTTGAGTTTTTGTTAAGTGTGCTTTAACTTCAACTGTCCTTTCCTTTTGATTAGGTCAGTAATTTTATCAGTCAGGAATAAGGAGCAAGATATTTTTTTCAGATGTTAGCATATTTGAAAGTGATCTGTTTATTTTTAGTTGGAAATTCAACTCCACGTTTCCTTGAATATGAGTCTTTTAACAGAAGAAAAGCTGAATAAATACGTCTCTTGGCAAGGGATACAAGAAAATTAAAAAAATCAACACAAAAAGTCAAACGGAAT